GAGGACTCCAGCTATCTCACTTAATCTCGGAATCTTAAATGTTTATGTAGAGAAAGTACAACTGACTCATTCATCTAATTGCTTCCAAGAGGGACAGGGAAAGCTCAGAGTCGCCAGGCCAACATTGTCCAGGGGCTGGTGCCCAGAACCAGCCGTGCAGGCATAGCCGGAGGATGATGTCAGGGCTTCCCAAAGCGGGTCCTTGTCACCGCACCACCTGATGTGTCTACAGGGACAATAGCCTGCGCACCGCACTCTGGCGGCTCCCAGGGGGCCTCGTGCCTAGGGAGAGATCTGAGCGGAGGCCCAGGGTCACAGCACAAAGCCAACAGACTGGGTTGTTCCCGAGGCAGCCCCATAAGGTGACCTTTGTGCCTCTCCACATGAGCCTGGCTTGAACCAGGAGGGAGAGGGAGTGACAAGCAGCCTTTCCCGGGGCTCTCTGGCCCCGGGGAGTGTCTGTCTTGGCTTTCCTAGGACGACCCTGTGAGGACAAGCCAGTTTTTCTAGCCCTGGAGTTGCACTGATCTTTGCCAAGCTGAGGGCCGGACAAACCGCCTCCTGGGTGGTCTTGTTTATTTTTGATAATGGCAAACTTGCGACAAGCGGCTACTCCTAACAAAAGCAATAACTGTCATCACCACGGCTAGAAAGGATGGAACTCTTGCCCGTCCAGGGACTGGGCTCACCATTTCGTACCCGTTCCGTTGTTTTAATCCTCAAAACCTTGAGAGGTAATAACTATGGCTGCTATTTCATCTTAGAGATGGGGACCCTGAGGCTCTGGGAGGTTCAATAACTTGCCAACAAACTCTAGCATTGGGGGGGGGGCGGGTAGGACCAAGAAACAAACCAAGACCGCAGGAGTCCAGAACTGAAGTCGATCCATCTCTGAAGGAAGCCACTGTCCTTGGCTACCAGCGCCTCTCGGCTGTTCCGTTTCTCCCACCAACGGGGGCTGAGCCGGGTGTGCAGCTGTGTGGGGGCACACTCCAAGCCACTTGGTCACAAATCCAAGGCACTTGCAGCCCTGAGACAGTGGTGATTGGCAGCCCTCCCCCTCCGCCCCGAGGCAAGGTCTTTGTGCCTGCACAGTAACTACATGGTCCTCAGTGACATATGCTGACCTGGCACGTGGGGCCTTTTAGGGGTCAGACAAAAAAGAGTCCCATGTGGGGCATTTGTCCTCACCCTGTTGGCTCATCCAGGTGTAAAGGACTCCCCCGTATGTGGTTGCATGAACGCATGGCTTCTCTGTTGACTTAGAAAAACCTCTTTAATTGATTACCTGTCACTTGATAAAGTAACTCCCGGAAGCTGTGTCTCTCAGGAATTGGCTCCCAAAATAATCCTGTCTCTTGGTGGGCGGGAAATCTCTTCCTCCCCTTCCCATTGCCGCTCTGCTGTTCGCCACTCCGTTAACGTCCCTTTCGCTCCCCCCACCCAGGAAGGTCAAGTGTCCCCTCCCTGTCTGTCGTCCTGCCCATGGCTGGTGGTCATTTCACACTCAACCCAATCCCGCCTCCTCCAGGAGTCTCCTGGACCTTCTCCACGTTGAGATCTCCTCCGTCTGTCCAGGACGGCGCTCGCCAGGCGGTTCTCGTCCTTGACAAATGTCTCTGATGGTGTCCCATGGAGATCAGCTCTTCCCGACATCGTAGCTGATTTTTCTTCCGCTTCTCTCCTTCTCCTAAAGCGGGAAGGTTGGATGGGGATGAGATAACCAGGGAATGCTCTGTCCAGCACTAGGGAAAATGGGACAGATGCCCGACTCCTTTGTTCCAGATACTCCACTTGGAGACTTTTCCACATCATCCTAGTGCCTCGAGCCAAGGTCACCGGATTGCCAGATGCCCAAGGGGGAAGGGCAGGCTGAGTAACCAGTGGCAACAATGGCGCTTCCACAATCCTTCCAACCCTCTTCTGAGACAATTCCCCATGAAATCATCATGACCACCCTCACCAGAATGTACCCCCTTCTCCAGCCTCACGATCCTGGTGTCACCATCTGTCCCTTACATCTCAAAAACTCAAGTACAAGATGCTGTGGAATCTGGAGATATCCTTAGTGTATTGTGTGCAGAAAAAAAGAGAGAGGCATTTTCTCCGCTACCTCCCCCTTCTGTTACCCAGTGGGTGTTCCCTAAATGCTGCCACCTGATGGCTTCCAGGAAGGGTGGTGGGTTTTGCCCCCCCCCTGGTGGTGGCTCTGAGTGTTCACACTGCCTCTTGTAACTTTTCCACTCACATGTTAGAATATTTGGACACCTCTGTGCTGTGATGAACTTCCTCTGATGTGTGCATATCTGGGATATGATCCTCGGTGTGGGTGTGGGTGAGATGGTGGGGTCCACGGGGTGGGGGAGTCTCTGTCCCATGGAGGATGAGATCTCATGGAGAAGCTCTATACCCAGTTTGACCGAGGGCAGTCAGGAGGGAATACCATAAGGCTTTCAGATGGAGGCTCCTGTCCAGCAGAGACCGGCTGCCCAGGGGGCCAACACAATCACATGCAGGGCTCTCTGGGGGTGGACGTGATGTCAGCTCAGGGCATGTGCCGAGCAGATCCAACGGAATCCTGTGATTTCTGGGGTGGGGAAGGCTTCCACCCTCCTGTGTCTCCCTGGCCCTTAATAACACAGGTAAGCCTTTGAACAGGGGACAAAGCCTTTAATTCCACCAGCAGAAGGTAGGACTTGAAATTTCAGTGACAAATAAAGGTTTATTTGTAGAGCCCATGGTTCCCTGTAAGAGAAGTAAGTAATCCAGTAATCTTACTGGAGTCCCTGTAAGAATCCAGCGTAAGGCTGGATTCTTAAAATAGAAAGGCAAGTGTTTGAGAGTACTGAAGGGGGGAAGAATGACCCCCAATCTCAAATAAAAAAGGTGGCATTTATCAAATACCCAATGAAACCCCTCCCTTAGGAAACAAATGGGTTGCTGACATAAATGTCCAAAAAAGCTAGAATTTATTTATTTCAGGTAATAGGTAAACAAATCTTTTACATTATTCTCTGTACTTTTTTCTTATTTCGAATTTTTTATGGTTGAAAAAAAGGACACCTCTGAAAATAGAAGTTGAAAAATAAAAACTTTCCAACAACACAATGGAATACTGTGTAGCTGTTGCCAAAAAAATTTTTTTTATTTTTTTATTTTTTTTAAACTTTTTTTAATTTATTTATTCATGAGAGACAGAGAGAGAGAGAGAGAGAGAGGCAGAGGGAGAAGCAGGCTCCCAAGGAGCAGGGAGCCCGATGCGGGACTCGATCCCAGGACCCTGGGATCATGACCTGAGCCGAAGGCAGACGCTTAACCATCTGAGCCACCCAGGCGCCCCCCAATTTTTTTTAATTGAGGACTATCTCTGTGTGCCCCCAAGGAAAGGACTCTAAGTAACATTGTAGCAAGAATAAGGCAAGCTTCAGAATATTTTACCAGTCCTGTCTAAGTGAAATACTTTGTGCCTGTGTGTATGTTTCGTTGTATGTATAGAACTAGATCTAGAAGAGGCACCAAATCATTAACAAGAAGTGGGGTGAATGCATACGTTAGCCATCTTCATATGGTATGAATGGTTCTTGTAAGTAACCATTACATTTAGCATCATAGAAAGGCACCTAGAAGTTTATAAACAGTCCTTGAAGTGGTGGAGCAACCGCGCTGGCCCCCAAGTCCTTCCAGGTTGGTGGGGTGCCCCGTGGCGGCGGGGGTGGGGGCTGGGGGGAGCAGCAACTGAAATCTCCACCTGTCCTGTCATTTCTGGCTCTTTCCCGCTTTGACACTTAGATGTCTGGAGGGTCCGTGACAGATGCCAGCAGTGGTGGTGATGACAAGCCCCAAAGCACACTTGTTCCATTTCTTGCTGCTCCTTGCTGCTTTTCCAATCTCCACCGTGAAAGCTCCCCTCTCTTATCTGCCCAAAGCAGGAGTCAAAAGTTCTTGTCCGTGTGATTGCAGAATGCCGGGCTGGGAAACTTCCGATAATACCTAAATTCCTTTAGAAGAGCCGAGCCTGGGATCGGGTCAGAAGCGTTTCTGGGGCCTGAGCACATTTTGTACTGTGTAGCTGGATAATAAACCAGATACAATTTGGCAATGTAAAAAACAAACAAACAAACAAACAAAAACCCATAAGGGATGTATAAGGATGTCATTGTAGTCCCACCTGATTGGATAGCCCCTTTCCCCAAGCTGATGAACCTGCTCCCCTCCAAAGGCCACACAGGCTTCTGAGGAAGAATTTCTGCCTTTCCAGCTGTTGAGGGTTTCCAAAATAGACACAGAGCTAGGAAGCATACAAAGGAAATCCAAATAATAATAATTTAAAAAGATCACGCTGCAGTTTCCGGGACATATTTATGGCTTTTATAATCAGCTGTGCGTTCGTTGAAAGGGACGTCGTGACACTGGGTGACATGAGCTAATTCTGACATTTAGGAGTTTAGACTCAGTAGCAGGTCTGGCTTATCCCGAAGAGCGAAGTTTGCGAAACACTTTGTGCTGTGTACCCTGCTTTATATTTGAACGTGATGCTAATGGCACGTTGTCATTTCAGTTCTCTGTCTCGTCGTAGAACCTGAGGGAGACGGGCACCCTCCCAACTGCGATCTCCTCTGGCCTCGTTCTGTATTCAGTGGCCCCTTTCTTTCTTTCATCTTCCCTGACTGTGTTTCAGAAAGATAACGGGTCTCATGTCCAAAATGTGCAGGAATGGATAAACCTGAAGATAAACTTGACCAAGCGACGGGAGACCTTTAATATGCCCTGCATTCTTCCCTGCCAGATGTATCCCTTTTATAAACACAAGTTCCCATTTGGAGTAAATCAATGAGATGCCACATAAAGTTAAAACCTATTTTTCACTCTTACCTTGCACTAGATACAGATCGAAGGAGGTAGATGTTTGCTCCTGGTAGGGATGCCACGGCGAAGCATTTCCAGAAAGCCCTTTAGTGTGCCTCAGCCACTGACCCCATTCTTGGATTTTACCCCATCAGGTAACCAGGTGAGTTTTTCCAAATCGGCAGATGCATTTGCCTTCGAAGAGGACAGCAGCGGTGATGGGCTTTCTCCGGACCAGGCTCGAAGCGAGGACCCCCAGGGCTCAGCAGGATCCCCTGCGGACACTAAAGCTTCAGAGACCCCTTTGGCGGGTCCTCTGGGGCCAGTCCAGGTAAACAAACCCCACCTCAGCCTACCGTGTCTTCATGGGCTTAAAAGCACCATGATACATAATAGTCATTGTCACACCCTTCTGCGCACCACGAAGGGAGCAAAGCTGGGACTGCCAAGGAGAAGATGTGGAATGGCAGGAAGCCGAGCGCTAACAAGCAGATCCATACGTTTACCGTGCACGGGTTTATAATCGAAGCACCTTCCGTTTGCCTGTGTGCCACACCTGGCCTTTGCAGCTCAGCTTCTTTGATAGCAGCAGACAGTATCTCAGATCACTTGTATCCGTTATTCTGATGGTAAATTCCTCAGCTTCTGATTGGAGAATGGTTTCGGGAGAAGACAAGTTCTTTTCCGCTTAACCCAGGAGAAGGGGTCAAAGGGAACGAGCACAAGGTGATGCCAGGCCCAGGGCAAAAATCATCTTTTCCTTGCACCAGCAGTCCCAGTTAGTGGATCAGGACGCTGAGGCTCGAGAGGAGAGGGTTCTGCAGACCTTTGCAGGTGCCAGGGCTCAGGAAAGGGTGGGTAAGCTCCAGGGGGAGAGTATGAGCAGTCCGTGTCCCTTTTGGTCCCAGTACCCGATTGCAGGAGAGGGACAGAAGACAGTTACCCTTTTTCCCAGTCCTCCGTGGACAGAAACATGTCTCTCATAAAGGTTGTTCATGACACTACACCCCCCACCCCCCCACACACACATATGCACAAAGCTATGCATCTACGCACACACACATATATAGACACATTCACACATGCAGACCCACGCACACACAAACATACGTATACCCACATATGTATGCAAACATGCATGTATACACCCAGAAGCATACACACACTCATGCATTTCCCCTCCATCTGCTAACACCATTTTTATCGGGTTTTTTTTTTGGTCCTACTTTCCCCCCAAATTCCTACACCTACTCCTCCCTCTTCCTTTTTTTCATCAGTCTCCTTCATCAGTCTCCTTATCAGGTCTATCACAGGTGGAACCCTCACACAGGGTGACCAGCTGTCTGGGTTGGCCTAGAACAGGCCATTTCTATTCCTATCTTCTGAAATAATGATAAATGATGACCCCTTTATCTCTCAAATTATATATGACTCCTTTCCCCGGGGAGGTCGTGTGATATGTACTTGGATATGAAGTAAAGATGAAAACAATAGAGCCGTGTAGGTGGCTGGGGACGGGGGGGGGGGGGGTTCTCCTTTATCTCTGCCTCGTGCAGTTTTTCCTCCTGCATCCGACTCATGCTGAAATTTGGATTTCAGGATCATTCTTCTGGCTCCGAAAATGACAGGAAAGACTCAGCCTCCCAGCCCAGCAACCAGTCAGACACGGGGATGCAGGGGCTCGGCCCTCTTGGTAACCCCATCGCTGTGCACGCTGCCGTGAAGGTAGGGACGGACCCGCCTCCCGGCACCTGCCTGAGCACTCACCCACAGGGCCCACTGGGAGCAGAGCTCTTGGAGTTAGGTGTGGTGGTGCGGTGGGAGTTAGGTGAGGAGAGTCACACGGACCCGTGTGTAGGCTCAGTCCGCCAGGAGCGTTGCAAGTCAGGAGAGGAGAAAGGGGCCATCCGTGTATGCGAACCAAGAGTCTGTTAGGTGTCGGCACAGTGTGGGTCTTCCCCGCAGAAGAAAAACCCATGTGCCTGCATGTCTTTGGAATCACAGCTCAGCCAGCACGTGTGCCTGACTTAAAAGACTTCATAAGGTCAGCCTAGAGACCGACACAGCTGATGGGAATGCACACAGGGTTTGTAAATATCATCAAATAGGTGGGAGGCAGGGAGTTGGGTTTTATGCAGGGGAAGCAGATCTGCAGACTTTGCGTCATATAATACCTCAATCATGTAAGCCTGGCTCCCTTTGGAGATAAAGGGAGGGGTTGTCTGCACAGTAGACCATAAACATCATAGCAGATTGTTGGTTAACTTTTCTTCGCATTATACTTACTAGTTCACAGAGGACTCTCTCCTCTTACCAATTAACTGCCTGCTAATAATCATTTGGTCTTCTTCATAATATTTTATCCCAAATAACTTACTAGTTTAGTTTTGTTTTGTTTGGCGGGGGGCGGGGCCGGGGTGGGGGGAGGAGCAGTGAGAGAGGGAGAGGAAGCGTCTTAAGCAACTTCCACACCCAGCACGGAGCCCAGCGTGGGGCTCAATCTCACCACCCCTGAGATCGTGACCTGAGCCGAAATCAAGAGTCACACGCTTAACGACTGAGCCACCCAGGCGCCGCTATCCCAAATAACTTCTCATCAATTTGGGAGCAAGTTATCTCAGCTCTAGGGTCACCACTGAATAACAGCTGAGATGTCTTTTATGAAATATTTTTCAAAAGATCGTTAAGTTAAGAATCAGTGTTAAAGTAACAGCCGCAGAGTCCCTTCCATTGCATGCATATACACAAAAGTGGCCAGCAGGACTTTCAGTTTCCTGTAAATGTCCCTAAACCTCGCTTCAATTACACTCCCTAAGTAGCTCAAACCTCACTTACAAGTCACTCAGCCCAGCAGCTTTGAAATTACACGACTGTTGATGAACTTTGGTCACCGCCGGTGGAGGAAGGAGACGGTTCACGTTATTTCTACTGTCATGTATGAAGAGAAATTTTATTACTGTTTCTACCAGTGTGTCTAAATTTTGCATAAGCCAAATTAGCACCTCCTTCAGCCTCAGTGCACTAAGGACACGTGATAGTTGGCCCGAGGGAAGACAGGTCAATTTAAACGGAGAGCAGGATTGACAGGTAACTGATCTAGCGGGACTGGTTGTTTATATAAGAGCCAGTCTCCCTGCTGATTAGTCAATGTCTATGAATTCTCAGTTGTTCGATACTCATCATCTCTAAATGAAGAGGATACTACAGGGCTTCTCAAAGAAGGAAGCAGCCCAGCTCGGGGGAAACATCTCTCACCTATTGACTTTCTAAGATACACATGAGACCACTGAGAAAATGCCCAGGAATTCCCCCAAAACTGTAAAATCCTATGTAAGGGAAAGGTGTTCTCAATGTAGGCTCCTAGAAGGTATATATCAAAGCTGCATAAAACACAATTCCTGGGGCGCCTGGGTGGCTCAGCCGGCTGAGCGTCTGCCTTCAGCTCAGGTCGTGATCTTGGGGTCTTGGGATCGAGCCCCGCCTCGGGCTCCCTGCCCAGTGGAGAGCCTGCTTCTCCTTTTCCCTCTGCCCTCCCCCCCTCATTCGTGCTCTCTCTCTCAAAATAAGTAAAATCTTAAAAAAAAAAAAAAAAGATTCTTGCTTTCAAGGAGCCTCTAGTCTAATTGAGTATCCTAGCCACCACTAACCCAAACAGTGTTGGGAGCAAGTAAGAAAAACATGCCACAAAGGACCTGAACGGGCATTTCGCCGAAGATAAAGAAATTGCCAATAAGCACATGAAAAGGTGTTCAGTGTCATTAGTCATCAGGGAAATGAAACTCAAACTCACAACAAAATACCACTTCACACCCACTAGAATGGCTGTCCTGGAAAATGGCAGGTATTGGCGAGAATGTGGATATTGGAGCTCTCACACATGGTGCGTCCACTACGGAAAACAGCTTGGTGGTTCCTCAGAAAGTTAAACCTAGCATTACCATATGACCCAGAAATTCCTCTCCTTAGGTATATGCCCCACAGAATTGAAAACAGGTGTTCTAACGAGATCTTGGATGTGAATATTCATGGCTGCACTATTCACAATAGTCAAGAGTTGGAACGAACCCAAACGTCCATCAGCTGAAGGATGGGTCCGTGTGTGGCATATCCACACAATGGGATGTTCTTCAGTTATGAAAAGGAATGAAGTCTGACACAGAAATGAGCCTTGAAAACACGATGCTGAGTGAAAGAAGCCAGACACAAAAGGCCACATGGTGTAGGATTCCATTTATATGAAATATCCTGAATAGGACAAGTCCATGGAGACGGAGAGCAGCTGAGTGTTGCCCGGGGACCACAAGAAGGAGAATGGGGAGGGGCTGCTTCATGGGAATGGGGTTTCCTTTTGGGGTGGTGAAAATTTTCTGGAACTACTTAGTGATGATGCTTGCCCAACACTGTGAATTGTATACTTTAAAATAGTTACTGGGGTGATTTCTCTGTTACTTGTGTTTTACCGAGATACAGAATGAGAGACCCCTTTCTTGCGGGGGGGGGGCACCACCTCCATCAGGACTCGTAGCATAAGAAGCAGAACAGGGGCTGGACTTCAGTCTCCCCCCACCCCCTGAGCAGGGTATGCAGTGGTGGACCATTATCAGACAGCCCCGAAATGCCATATGAGACCTGCAAATGAGAGACCTCACTGCGAACTGGGAAAGGCTTCCCCGGGGAGCTGGGGTGTGAGCCAGACGCAGAGGATGAGCCCTAGTTGGGTAGCAGGTGCAGGAGGGAATTGCAGACGGCAGGAAATTGCAAGGAAGAGAGACCAGAGGGGAAGCTGTTGGGTGGGAGGGGTCAGGCAGCTGGGTGAACGGTCTTCTTTGGCAGAGGGGGTTTGGGACTTGGTCTTGCGAGGCAGGACAGGCAAACTGATTGTAGGCTGCTGGGTGGTACATTGTGGGGCAGGCCCAGGATGCGAGCAAGACTTCTTGCAAAAAAGTCACGGACCTCTAGCCACAGACCACGCCATGCCCTCTTGCACTACACTGCCCTGCTTTACACATTCACGCGTGGGTCTTAAACCCCTGGATGATATATCTACCTCCCATAGGCCATGCAGTTCTAGGCAGAAAATAGAAACAAACAAACAAACAAACATACCACCTTGTATCCTCTGGTTTCAAAAAGAGTATAAAATTATACAGTCCATGGAATCAGGGTTCCATGGGCTCAAAAGACTTTGCCTTCCACTCTCCAGAGAAGGCGGTCCAATTTGAGTAACTTCTGGAATGCTCAGCATCCCTGTACTAAGGCAACATGGAGAAAAATCTCCCCGTCCCTGACTGGCCTGCAGCTCCCCCAGACGAGGAGGCAAGTCCTAGGGTGAGGTGGGAACAGAAGCTGAGCTGGAGCAAAGCAGGGCCGAGCTGATGGCAGGAGCCCTGCAGAGATTCTCCCGAGAGTGCAGGAGACTGATTAGCTAGAATGCTAATCAATGAAGGAGCAGGGAGAAATCGAGCCACCAGGCCCACGGGAATTCTTGTGCTCCTTATCTATTACTTCCGGAGAAGAAGCCTCCTTAAGGAAACGTTTACAAAAGAGGCTTCGGTGGTGGGATGCCTGGAGTCAGAGAAATGCAAGTTGTGGACTCCAGATGTGTGCTTTGTGGTTAAAATGGGGGGAGCCGCCTGGTGGGAACCTGCCAACCAGGTATTCTGGAGCTCCCTCTTCTGGACGCTGCTGGTATCACACCTCCCCTGCACCTTTCCCCCAAATCCTCAAGATGCTGGTCATGACATCCATGTTCTTCATTTCAGGCTTCTCTAATTAAAGTCAGGTCTGGAAAGTTAAGATTTTTCTTTCAACTGATGACAGTATGGACTACTGCCTCTTTCAATGTGTCCAAGTCACGCTCTGGGATGGGAAGCTTCTAGAAGGGTCCCAGTGGGTGGCTAACCCTTCTCATAGTAAGTCAAGTATCATTAATCTCAGAGGGTGTCAGCTCCTGGGGTTACATCCGTATTTGGGGTGTTGGTGGGATGGGGGAGTCTATCTGACTTTTCCACCCAAATCTGCAAAAATCCCCATCAAAGACAAACTTAATTTCATCCAAGGTGCCGTCATTCATAAGTCAATTTACCGAGTGCTTCACTAAAGGCGATTTCATGTATACGTAGGAAGGAACTTCTTACGACTCCATCTCCAGATCAGATTGTGTCCTTTGCTAGGCCATCTGTTGGTTTTAGCCAAGGAAAGCATCCTAGCCGAAACGTAGGCTTCTGTCTTACTCTGCGCTGGGAAGGAAATGCTCCTGGAGCCACATCTGAGATTCATGCCCCCCCACCCCTTCTAGAGTGAGGCACCTGCAGTAGATCCGTTGAACAGATACCTCAATGCCCCAGGATCTCTTGGCACCTTGTGCCTTTGCTAGATCGTATCTCTGGGATTCGAGAAAGCCCATTTTAACAGAACCTCCTCGCGATCTAGCCATGGCATCCAGCTTTCCCCCCTCCCCCACCCCCCACCTAAAGCACGTGCCATTTCTTCACCCCCTTTGCAGTCCAAGTCCTTGAGTGACAGTAAGAACCGCCACAAAAAGCCCAAGGACCCCAAGCCCAAAGTGAAGAAGCTCAAATATCACCAGTACATCCCCCCCGACCAGAAGGCAGAGAAGTCCCCTCCGCCCATGGACTCGGCCTACGCCCGGCTACTCCAGCAGCAGCAGCTCTTTCTGCAGCTCCAGATCCTGAGCCAGCAGCAGCAACAACAGCACCGGCTCGGCTACGCCGGGCTTCACCAAGCTCAGCTCAAGTAAGTTGGGAGGGCCCGGGGCGGGGGGCTCCTCTGTGTCTGAGGCACAGGGGGGCCAGCGCCCAGGACCCAACCAGTCCCTGCTGGGACCCCGTCCTCATCTGGTAGGTTTAGAATGGGACTCTGCTTAGGAACCATGCCCACCTTTTCCGGAGCAGAAGGCCAGGAGGAAGCAACGAAATCGATGCCTTGGTAAGAGGTATGGTTGGGGAAAGAGAAAGGGTTAGCGCTCTCGAACTGAATCGTGGCGCAGAGAGGAGAAACCGTCTCAGAATGGTTCCATTTCTTGGATTCACTCGGCCCTTATGCTTTAGGAAGCAACAGACCTGAGTGACTGAGTGATGGCCGGCCCCGAAGTTTGACTCTGGGACCCCAGCCTGTGACCCCCACGGCAGGTCACCTTTTAAATGGGCCATTCCCTTCAACTCTGAAGTTGGGGTGTGGGTTCCCACACCTGTCTCTGCTCAGCCTCAGGTCGGGTTGGCAATGATGCGGAGTGCTGAATACAGCCATGCTTTATGAGGGGTGCTCCTGCCCCCCCCACCAGGACACTCTCCACTATGCCACAGTCTCTACCGCTCCCTCCTGTCTCCCCAGAGAGAGTGTCACTTGCCACTTGGCAACAAGCCTGCACTGTTGGTGTCCTTGCCCCGCCTCTCCCACTGATTGATTTATTGCCTGATCCTCGCAGGCCATTAGCTTCTGACCTGATCTAAATGCAAACCTACCCACCAAGGGTTCTGGCCACCCCATCCCAGTGTGTGGGGGAGGCTTTCCCCACGTCACCAGCCGGGTGCCCTCTAGTTCCACACAATTCTGGCACCATCTACCTAGACAGAGAGCATCAGACCCCACAGGTGAAGGGCTCAGTCCTACAAGACTGCCCTCCCCTTCCCCAACTTCAGTTGCCAACCGCAAGTCTAGAAGTTGTGACCTGGGCTTCCGGTTGGCAGGGCTATAGATCAGAGGTTCCCACGATTTCCTCCTTGGGTTCCATTAATTCGCTAGAGCGGCTCACAGAACTCAGAGAAACACTTGACTTAACGAGATCACTGGTTTGTTATAAAAGGATGTAACTCAGGAACCGCCAGATGGAAGAGATGCACAGGGCAAGGGATGGGGAAAGGTCAAGGAGCTTCCATGCCCCCACCCCAAGCATGCCACTCACCTTGTTCTCCATGTGTTCACCAACCTGGAAGCTCTCTGAATTCCATTCTTTTAGGTGTTAGGGAGACTGCATTAGAGGCATGATTGATTAAATCATTGGCCACTGGTGAATGAATCAACCTCCAGCCTGGCTCCTCTCCCCAGAGGGCAGGGGGTGGGACTGAAAGTTGCAACCTCAAGTCACAGGGTTGGTTCTCAGACAACCAGCCCCCATCCTTAGGTGACCTAGGGGCTTTCATAAAGTCGCCTCGCCAACATAACAGATGACAACCCTGTGGCTCTCATCACTTAGGAGATTCCAAGGATTTTAGGAGCTCTGTGCCAGAGAGAGGGACAAGGACCAAATGTGTGATTTCTTATTGTAAATCCCGGTACTACACCCCCATATATCTATTTGGCCATATTTTAAGTGCCTCTTTCTTGTTTGTTTTTCAGGGAGCCAAATGAACAGATGGTCAGAAATCCAAACTCTAGTTCAACACCACTGAGCAGTACCCCTTTGTCTCCTGTCAAAAACAGCTTTTCTGGACAAACTGGTGTCTCTTCTCTCAAACCAGGCCCACTGCCATCAAACCTAGATGATCTGAAGGTATAGGATTTGGTGTGTTTTCCTTCCTTCCTTCGTGTCCTTCAACAAATACATCAGTAGATCTTTTTAATGTTTTCTTTTTAAGTAATCTCTACACCCAATATGGGGCTCGAACTCACAACCCCGAGATCAAGAGTCGTATGCTCCACTGACTGAGCCAGCCAGGTGCCCGGACAAATCCATCAGTAGCTTTTTAACATTTTCCCCAACTGAGTTCTTGAATAAAACAGTGGGAGGGAGAAGGTTAGGGGAGATTCAAGTAGATGATAAAATCTTAACTGCTGTGGTTGAGTAACCCGCCCCCCATAGAGCAGAAGACCCTGGGCTTCTAAATCAGCTCTTTCACTGGCTATGCAACCTTGGGTTCATTTCTTAATTTCTCTGCATCTTAGATTGCTCATTTGCATACAGGAGTTCTTGTGAGAACCCGATGGAATCGTATATACATGACAGAGTGTAGCGTAGAGTAGCTGTAAGATTGATGTGGGCTTCCTGAATGTTCTAAACCAGCAGTCAATTCCATGATGAATTTCAACCAGTCCCTGGTGAAATGAGAAAAACAAGAACCACATAAAGGGCTTTTCATAAATCTAAGTGTGTTCGGCATACCTTGACGGATCTTTATTCAAAGTATTTATTTCCTCCCGAAGTTTCGAATCTAAAGAAAGACCCTGTTTGGAAATGATGACAGTAGTGGGTGGAAGTGGAATGTTTCTGGTAGACTTTTGTTTCTTTCTATTAAGCAGGGGTATTATTAAATAAGGATGTTAGTCTTGTGTAACAAGACGAAATGTTGGTAACCCAACCTCAACTGCATCAACTGCATAATTTGAAACAATGTACTATTCTGTGAAATCCCCAAGTCTGAGAATTTCTGCCCTGAAATGTGACAGCAACGTGTTAAATGCTGTGTGGGGGGAGCAGTGTACTCTGGATCACAGACTTCAGGGATCTCAGTTCACCGAGATGACCCTGGGCTTTGAGCTAAACCTCGCGCATTCCAGAGCGGTGATCACATTTGGCGTATTCACCCATCCAGTGATTACAAAAGAACTGGAGAAGGCAGTTTGTGGTGCCTTCAACTTCTCTAATGTGTGAACACCTGCTCCCCTCAACACCTCACTCCGTTGTCTGTGATCCCACCTATTACTCTTCCCTCCCCCAAAGGACCTTATCACTTTTCCCCAAAAAGCCAGTTTCCTACAGGTCCCCGTGGTCTTCACTGGGCCAGGATTTCTCGGGCCTTATTTGTCACCCTCCATTCCCATTCTCAGTCTTTGGTCATTATCTGTCTTGGGGGAAAGGTGGGAGTGGAATTTATTTCAAATGAAAGAAAATTAATTCTATGGCTGCCAGTGGCCAACACTGGTCAATAAAATACATCTTGGGTTGTGATATCAAGAGTTCCTCTGTCCCTTCCACTTGGAATAAAAATGCTTAGGTTTCATTGAGCTCATTCCGATTTAGCATCCATGAGGCTAGAGGAGGATGCCAAGCTTCTGGTAACGGGTCACCCACCCTTCACTCCCCAGGTCATAAATCCATGAAGGTATAAAATTAGGTCCTCTCACCCAGACAACAATATGCTAAATGAAGTAAGCCAGGCACAAAGGGACAACTATTCTGAGTCTACTTGTATGAGGGACCTAGAGAAGTTCAAAGACAGAAAGTAGAAGGGTGCTTGCCAGGGGCTTGGCAGAGGAGAAATGGGGTGTTAGTGTGTAAAGGGTACATAGGTTCTGCTCGCAATGAGGAAAATGTTCTGGAGACAGATGGTGGTGTTGTTTGCACAAGAGTGTGAATGCACTAATTCCACTGAACTGCATATTTAAAAGTGATTGGATGGTACATTTCATGCCGTACATCTTTAACCAGAATAAAAAAGATTTTTCAGATGCTCCTGGCTGGCTCAGTGGGTGAAGCATCTGACCCGTGATCTCAGCTCAGGTCTTAATCTCAAGGTTATGAGTTCAAGCCCTGCATTGAAAAAAAAAAAAAAAAAGATTTTTTAAAAAGTAATCTACCTTAGAATGGGAGCCCGGGGTCAGGTAGTTGCCTAGACCCCAGACAGCATAGTCTAGATGTGATGTGCCGTCTGGCAGAGCCTCCAAAGATGGTCTCCTCCATGTGCACATGTTCAGAATGATTGGCTGGTTTGGTATATAATAATAAATTAGCGGGGGTACTAGGAAATGATGGGGGTCACAGCTGCCAGTTTCTGAGTGTAAACTATCAGTTGACCATCCTGTATAGATTTGCTTCCATTTTCACCCTGCAAGATAGGTTTTACATGTGAATATAAAAATCAGGACCTCAAAGATGCTAAATGAATAAGGCATATGACTCATTATCATGCTAGATATTTTTGATATTTATCTTTATCATGAATGCTATAAAATGGTTTGCTGTACAGAACAAAGATATTGGGTTTTTTTTAAGATTTTATTTATTTATTTGAGAGAGAGCATGAGTGGGGGGAGGAGCAGAGGGAGAAGCAGACTCCCTGCTGAGTAGGGAGCCTGAGGCGGCGCTCGATCCCAGGACCCTGAGATGACCTGAGCCGAAGTCAGACGCTTAAACAACCGAGCCACCCAGGTTCCCCTAGAAGAAAGATACTGTTGATAAACCTAACACCAACCCTGATAGCTCAGGTGAGAAAAGTGGGAGAAATATGTTGGTTCTATCAGGACATAGGTTAACATGTAAAAGAGATCCTTTTATCTCTACATTTTCTCCCCCACTTGGAGAAGCCGTCCCAATTTCATCTGTTCATTTGACAACTTTGTCCTATGTTGCCAGAGCCCACAAGTCAATCCAGAATGCTGACATCTAAAAATAGACCTTCATCTCCTTCTGTAGAAGCCTAAGAATCTTTACAGAATAAATAAGTTTGGTAAATTCATAGGATTTGGTTTTAGTCTCTCTGGTAACATTGATTGGTGTATTTTAAGAAGTTAAAGTAGGAAGTCTGGAGTTATATTTGGGAGACATATGACGTTTATCACATCAACCTCACATCCCTACATGGGTTGCACATTGTCAAGTTTGAGTGTTGATCAGTTGTGAGTTTATGGTTTATATTATAGGCACACAGTGCACTAAGATCATATACCAAGTGAATAAATGTCTTGCTTAACCCCCACCCCCAGAAAAAGAGACCAAATGCTATGCAAGTTAACCAGCCTATAGATGACAAAACTGGGGTTTGGAATTAAGTGAGTGATATTTTTGTTTCATTTTTTATTTTATTTTAAATTCCATTATAGTTAACATGCAGTGTTATATTAGTTTCAGGTGTGCAATATGGTGATTCGACAGTTCTGTACAAAACTCAGAGTTCATCACAAGTGCACTCCTTGATCCCTATCACATATTTCTCCCATCGCCCCGCCACCTCCCCTCTGGTGACTATCAGTTTGTTCTTTGTGATTAAAAGTCTGTCCTTGGTTTGTCTCTCTCTCTCTCTCTTTCTTTTTTTCCCTTTGCTTGTTTGTTTCTTAAATTCCACATATGAATGAAATCACATGGTATTTGTCTTTCTCTGGCTGACTTATTTCGCTTAGCATAATAGCCTCTAGCTCCATCCATGCGGTTGCAAATGGCGAGGTTTAGTTCTTTTTTATGGCTGAGTAATATTCCACTGTATACACACCACATCTTCTTTTTCCATTCATCTATCAATGGGCACTTGGGCGGCTTCCATAATTTGGCTATTGTAAATAATGCTGCTATAAATATAGGGGTGCATGTATGCCTTTGAATTCTTGTTTTTGTATTTTTTTAGTAAATATCCGGTAGTGTAATTACTGGATTGGAGCGTAGTTCTTCTTTTAATTGAGTGACCTGAAGGGTTTTGCTACTGTCATTCGAAAGGAGGATGGAGAAGGAGAAACCTTAATTGGACTTGACCACGGGGTGTATGGGGAGAGGTGTCACCTAGGATCGTGACACCAGGGGCAGAAACTGGGAGGGTAAAATGGGGAGCTGATCCAAAGGGATGTTGGCAGGTGCATTCAGTTTGGGGAAATTGAGCCACAGCTACCACCAGGACAACCAAGAGGAAAAAGCTAGCCAGTTTCCATGCAGTTAGAGACACGCCGACCTAGTTGTCAGGCTGGGCACAGAAATTTTGGAATCGTTTGCATAGCGGGGTGGGTTGAAGCCACAACACCGAAAGAGACGGAAGGAGGGCAGTTGGAAAGAGTGGGAAGTGAAGGAGGTGAGGAGAGGAATAAAGGAAGCAGGTGATATAACCATACCTTGGAAAAGGAAGAAACAGGAGGAATTAATGAAGGTGACCCTTAAAACAGGTCATCAGAAAGATAAGGTATCGAAGGTAGATGTTCTCCCAAAACGCTCATGTTTTGCTGATTAGGAGTAAAAGGGGAAAAGCACTGGGAAAAAAGTTTGATTTCTTATTAAGAACTTACACATGGAGGGCACCTGGGGGACATAGTTGGTTAAGCATCCAACACTCTTAGTTTGAGCTCAGGGTCATGATCTCGGGGTTGTGAGATTGAGCCCTGTGTCGGGCTCTGCACTCAGCAGGGAGCCTGCTGGAGAGTCTCCCTCTCCCTCTGCCCCAGCCCCCCGCTCCTGCTCACTCTCTCTCTCTCAAATAAATAAATAAATCTTTTTTTTAAAGTTATACATGGTAACATCACAGTATATGTTTTGTTTTGTTTTTTCTTCTTTTGCTAATCCAGTATATGGATTTTTTTTCTTGTTTCTAAGAAACTGGAGAGCCAGAGAGCATGACAGCATGAGAGAGAGAGAGACAGAGAAAATAATGGGAAATTTAAAAACTGGGAAAATATGATGGATATTAAGAAATAGTTGTTCAGGTGTTTTGGATGTGATAATGGTCTTTTATTGGTGTTTTTTATAAAATGCACTTACCTTTTAGAGAAAGATATCAGAATATTTACAAATCTCATTATATGAGTTGCTTCAGAATAATTTAGGAAATATAGTGGAAGTGGTTTAGGGTATAAATGAATCAGGATTGGGCATGGATGAATCATTGTTGACGCTGGTTGATGGGTACATGAGGTTCATTATACTTTTTCATCAACTTTTGTGTATGATAGACATCTCCATAACACATGGTTGAAAGAGTGATCAGCAATTAAAACATCACTGAGTATAGGAAAGAGGTGTATACAAACCTTTGTCCCAAGCAAGCCCACACAGCATAATACTCCGAAATGTAAGGTACATGAACGCAACAAGTATTTGTGTTATTTCGGCATATGAGCTGCATTATTTAATGATGTAGTTTAAAATATTCAGTGCCAGAACAGATTCTAAAAATAAATGTAGAACTCATTAATTTTAAGTAATTCAAAGTTAAAACAATAATGACTTGCTATTCTGTACTTTTTCAAACCAGCAAATCTGGAAAGAAAAAAAAAAAGATAAAACAATGCCAGAAAGATGGGGGGGGTGGTACCACTTGCAATAGTGTGAGTTCTTGTAATCCTTTTAAAATACCCTTTAAATGATTATAAAATTAATTATTTACTGTTGAGACAGGATAGTGCAGGTAGAAATAAAGAGTATTTTAAAAGATAATTGACCCACAGATAACATTGCAGATTTTATTTCCCTATAAACTTAAAATACAGGTGGACCTGTTTTCAAAATTATTGTTGAAAAAATTTTTTTAATTATTGCTGTAACGTAATCCTGTGAGCATGAATTTCTGACATGCTTTTTTGGTTAACATATCATAAGCATTTTCCATAACTTGCAATATTCAATACAATTTTTATTTTTTTAAAAGATTTTATTTATTTATTTGACAGAGAGAGACACAGTGAGAGAGGGAACACAAGCAGGGGGAGTGGGAGAGGGAGAAGCAGGCTCCCCGCTGAGCAGGGAGCCCGATGTGGAGCTCGATCCCAGGACCCTGGGATCATGACCTGAGCCGAAGGCAGATGTTTAACCGACTGAGCCACCCAGGTGTCCCAGAATTTTTATTTTTCATAGCGTATCATTCTGCCACCTAGTTAACAGTCCTGTGTCAGACACTTAACTTGCTTCCAAATTTTTGCTATTAAAAATATAATTTGTACATAAATTTATTAATGTATCCAATGACTGTCCTGGGAGTAGAATTCCTGAACCAAAACATATTAACATTTTTTAAAGTTCTTGCCTGGGGTGCCTGGGTGGCTCAGTCGGTAGAGCATCTGACTCTTGACCTCAGGTCTTGATCTCAGAGTTGTGAGTTCAAGCCCTGTGTTGAGCATGGAGCCTACTTAAAAAAAAAAAAAAATACTAAAGTTCTTGCCAAAGAATACATATTGTAAAAATTTCTGTCCTGAACGTTTGTGCCAATCTACTGCCAGAAGCATTGCGCTGTGGCAACATTTATCAAGCATGAATATACACACTGGATCACCTGGGGCTCTGGGTAAAATACAGGTTCTGATTCAGTAGGTGTGGGGAGGGGGCCTGAGTGTCTGCATTCCTAACATGCTCCTGGATGCCCTTGGAGCTGTTGGTCCAAGGACCACCCTTGGAATAGCAAGGCATTAAGGAACTTTCTGTAAAAAAAAACATTTTTATTTGCTTTTTTTTGCTGCTACTTCATTAACACAAAGTGTTATTAATTCCTTTGTCAATTTCACGAATGCAAAAATATGTCCGTATTTATTTTATTTGGATTACTAATGCTGGTACATGTCTCTTATTGCCATTTTTTAAAAAAATGTGTCTTTTGTGGGCACTTGGGTGGCTCAGTCAGTGAAGCGTCTTCCTCCAGTTCAGGTCATGATCCCAGGATCCTGGGCTCGAGCCCCGCATGGGGCTCCCTGCTCAGCGGGGAGTCTGCTTCTCCCTCTCTCCCTCTGCTCCTCTCCCCTGCTCATGCTCTCCCTCTGTCTTGCTCTCTCTCAAATAAATAAATAAAAATGTATCTTTTGTTTGTGAAGAGTTGAACCATGCCCATTACCTATTTTGGGGTGTTGGTTTATTTTGGGGGTTTGTTAAAGCACACTTAGTACAGGGAGCTTACTAATACCTTATTATTTGTCCTGCAATTATTTTTGTCTGAGACTGCTATCTGCATTTGCATTTTCTTTTTGGTGTTTTTGACTTAGAGGGTTTTTTTATTTTTGTCGTATTTTTAAAGTTGCTTTCTTTGCTTTTAGGCTCAAAAGATCTTTCCCTACAGAATATCAGAAGAATATTTGTTCTTCGAGCTATTTTATGGGATTATTGACACTTAGATATTTAATGTTTCTTGTTTTAATTACAAAAGTAATATCTTATGTGAAATATTTAGGATGTTAGAGATAAGGAGAACCATTGTTAACATTTTAGTCTATCTTTATCCACATATTTTCATCAGCAAGCATAGGTTTAAATATACACACACATACATACAAATTTATATAATTCTTAGAAAAATAGAATCAAACAATTCAAACTGTTTTTCATTTATTAATATACCAAAAACGGGGGGGGGGCACCTGGGTTGTTCTGTTGGTTGAGTGTCTGACTTCCGCTCAGGTCATGATCTCAGGGTCCTGGGATCGAGTCCTGCATCCGGCTCCTTGCTCAGCAGGGAATCTGCTTGCCATTCTCCCTTTGTCCCTCCCAGCTCGTGCTCTCTCTCTCTCTCTCTCTCTTTCTCTCTCTCTCAAATTTTAAAAATCAAGAAAAAATAATATACCATAAATAATTATTCATTATTGTATATAACATCAGCTTTAATGGATTCAGGTATTCCATCATTCATAGTCATGATTGTTAATTTAGTTCCCATATTTTTAGATATCTGCAGCTTATCATTTATGAACATTGTAAAAAATGCAGGATGAAATTATCACACGTGAATCACCATAATAATGGCAAACTCTTACACCACACTAACCATTTGCTAGACACTATTCCAAGCACTTAACAAATGTTAAGCCATTTCAGTCCTCACAAAAACACATAAGGTCGCTATGACTGTCTCCATTTTACAGAAGGGGAACCAAGGCACGGAGTGATCTCTGAGCTAGTAAGAGGCAAGATCGGGATTTGAACTGATGGTCTTATCCCAGCACAGTCTCCCTCGGTATATGACTATCATCTAGCCAGTTATTAAAATTAGGACGTATGTGGGGTGCCTGGGCGGCTCAGTCTGTTGAGCCTCTGACTCTTGATTTCGGCTCAGGTCGTGATCTTGGGGTGGTGGGATCAAGCCCCGTGTCGGGCTCCATGCTCAGCAGGGAATCTACTTAAGATTCTCTCTCCCTTTGCCCCTCCCCATGCTCAGGCTCACTCTCTCTCTAAAATAAATAAATCTTAAAAAAAAAAAAAAAGGACATAAGTGTTAATGTAGAACCATGGTTCTCAAAACCTGGTCCGGGGACCAGTGCATCAGCATCCCCTGGGAATCTGTTAAAAATGCACCTGCTCAAGTTGGAGAACCAAGGACAGAGAGAGCCTGGCAGGGAGAGCGGTGACCTAGGAGCAGAAGACCTGGAGTCTCATTGTGCTTTGGGCTGATTGCCGGCTGATGGCTAAACCTGGGCAGAGATCAGTCTTCTCATCTGTAGAATGGGGCGAGGACCAGGGTGGGGGCTGGAAGCTAGCAGAGTAGGTGGCCTCTATGGTTCATGTGGGCTATGCCTTTCTAGGATTCTGGGATCATGGAAAAAAAAAAAAAAAGCATGGTGCAAAAGCCTATTGATACCAAGGGAAGGGGAGGGGATTGTAAGCAAGTCATAGAAAAGCGGATGTAAAATTCCACGTGTGGTGTTTTAAAGCGAACGTAATAATTTATTTATTTATTCATTCATTCATTCATTCATTCATTCTTAGAGATTGTCCTTAACCGGCACACTAACCACGCCCTGGTTTCTGTAGGTCTCCGAATTAAGACAGCAGCTTCGAATCCGGGGTCTGCCGGTGTCAGGCACCAAGACGGCCCTCATGGACCGTCTGCGGCCCTTCCAGGACTGTTCGGGGACCCCCCTGGCTAACTTCGGGGACATCACGACGGTCACTTTCCCCGTGACGCCCAGCAGCGCGCTGCCCGGCTACCAGTCCTCCCCGTCCACCGGCGCCTTATCCAACGGCTTCTACCACTTCGGCAGCACCAGCTCCAGCCCCCCGATCTCGCCCGCCTCCTCCGACCTGTCGGCGGCGGGGTCCCTGCCCGACCCCTTCAACGATGCGTCCCCGTCTCTCTGCCTGCACCCGTCCCCGCTCCCCGCGTGCGCCGACGAGAGCCTCCTGAGCAGCCTGAACGGGGGCTCCCTTGGCCCCGAGCTGGACGGGCTGGACTCCGAGAAGGACAAGATGCTGGTGGAGAAGCAGAAGGTGATCAACGAGCTCACCTGGAAGCTCCAGCAGGAGCAGCGCCACGTGGAGGAGCTGAGGCTGCAGCTGCAGAAGCAGAAGAGGAGCACCTGCCCTGAGAAGCCGCCGCCCTTCTTGGCCGTCCCCGTCAAGCAGGAGGACGCCGCGTCCAGTTGTCCCTTCACGCCCCAGCAGAGACCTGGGAAGAGACAGGGCCTCAGCTCAGAGGGCCGAGCGCAGGCCTGCGAAGCGGCGGGGCGCCGGCCCCCGGGGTCCGCTCCGTGCGCCGAGCTGGCCTCGGGCCCCAGCGACGCGCTGCCGTCCACGTTTCTCAGCCCCCAGTGCTCCCCTCAGCACTCGCCGCTGGGCGCTGTCAAAAGCCCGCAGCACATCAGCTTGCCCCCATCCCCCAACAACCATTACTTCCTCCCCTCCTCTTCGGGTGCCCAAGGGGAAGGGCACAGGATCTCCTCACCTGCCAGCAACCAGGTATGCGCTGCGCATACTGCGCAGGTAACAACTCCCCGCCTCAGGCTCCCCCGTAGCACCCCGCTTTCCAGAAGTGGGGTGTGGCTGGCAAAGGCCCAAGAGCTGAAGTTTGAATGGGTAGGGTTTACCAGAAGCCCAGAAGCAACCTCTGGTCTTCACCGGAGACCGGAGACTCTCTTCTCCGAGATTGAGGTTAGCAAAATCTGCGTGTGAAAGGCTGGATAATCAATGTTCTGTCCTCGTGGGTCGGATGGGCCTGTGTCACAGCTACTCAGTGGGCACCCTTGTATCCTGAACGCGGACGTCCACAACTTGTAAAGGAATTCACAAGGCTGGGCTCCAGTAGAACTTTAGTTATAAAAACAGGTAGTGGGGGCGCCTGGGTGGCTCAGTCAGTTGGGCATCTGCCTTTGGTTCAGGTCATGATCTTGGGGTCCTGGGATTGAGACCCGTGTCGGGCTCCCTGCTCAGCGGGGAGCCTGCTACTCCCTCTCCCTCTGCTTGCTGCTCCCCTTGCTTGTGCTCTCTCTCTCTCTCTAATAAATAAATGAAATCTTAAACAAACAAACAAACAAACAGACAAAAACAGGTGGTGGGTCAGATTGCCAATCCCCTTTTCAGGACTCCTCGGCATAAAACCTCACCACAGGCCAAACCAATTCATCAAGAGAGCCAAAGGGAAGTTACCAGACCTTACTATTCTCTCCGTGTAATGGTCTACATAGTGCAAATATTTTCCGAACACTACTATGTGTGTCAGACCCTGTTCTGGTCTCTGGGGATGAGGGATGAACTAACCAAACAAAAATCCCTATTCTCATGGGAAGACAGACAGTAAATAAAGTAAACACGTAAAATATATCATGTATCAGAAGATGATAGATTTTTTTTAAGATTTTATTTATTTGAGAGAGAAAGAGACGTAGCTAGAGAGAGCGCAAGCAGTGGGGGAGAAGGAGGGCAGGGAGCCCCATGTGGGGCTCTATCCCAGGACCCGGGTATCACGAGCCCAAGTGAGCCGAAGGCAGATGCTTAACCGACTGAGCCACCCAAGCGCCCCTAAAGGATGATAGATGTTATGGAGAAAAAGCAGGGAGGCATGGTGATGGAGCATTTGCAAGTTTGCAACTTTTAAGTCAAAGGTCTGGGGCCATTTAAGCAAATCTTTGAAAGAGATAAGGGAGCAAGCCTCACGAATATTTGGGGTGAAGGCATTGCAGGCAAAGGAAGAATAGCAAGAGCAAGGGCCCTGAGGTGGGAGTTGTGTGTGTAATATTCAGGGATCAGAAGGAAGACCAGTGTGGTTGGAGCTGAATGAGAGGTGGTTGTAGGGAGAGAGCTTACGGCAGTAACTAGTTCAAAGATGCGACCAAGGTGATCATCAGAGACTTTCCTTGTCCACAAAGCTAAAAAATCATTAGGAAAATCTACCTAAGGCTGAGAAAGAAAATTACATCATCAGAAGTCCTGAAATCTACCTTATGAGAAAGGAAAATAGGAAGAAAACCCACATGATTGGATCCTGCCACGTGCCCAGTATTAAGAGGCATGCCTCTGAGTAATCTCGTTAATTGTCACAACCTTATGAGCTCCAATTCTTTATTCTTTACTTGACACAGAAGAAAATGAAGCCCAAGGAGGTTAACCCAGGAGCGCAGGGTCACAGGAACCCAGGGTCATCTGATGCTAAAATGCATGCCCTTTTCCCACTGAAATGTTCTCTACCCTGGGAGTATGGGGTATGGCCATAGGTAATGGGAATATGATTTTACACACCCCCAAACAGCACATTCAAGTGAATGATGCCCACTTCTGAGTGGACACTCTGGGAGGGGCTGGGACGTCACATGGATTGTCATCTCTGTTGACAACATTTACTAGTGCACGGTGTCCTAGGCAACAAAGGTAAAAATAGTTCTTGAAACACAGATCTGGACCCTAAGACCATTCTGACGACATGGATACTCTCAAGAAGAACTAACATTCATGCAGTGGTTCATAGTTTACAAAGCACTCTTTGAGGACATGATCAATTACCTGATAAAAAAGATAAAGAGCAATATAGAATAACATGCCTGATCAGTGCTTCTGGTATCAAGTGCTGCACAAAGTGTTCGGGAAGGTGGGGGGAAGCAGATTGGTCATGAAGGGCTAGGAAGGTCCAGGAAGGTCTTTTTTTTGGGGGGGGGTGGAGGCCGGTCCAGGAAGGTTTTGCAAAGGGGTTAGACTCCACGAGAAACATAGCATTAAAAAATGAGAGTCAGTAAAAGAACATTCCATGTGGGAAAAGATAGGGAGGTACAATGTGCAGGGCATGCTGAGGCAAGTTAATAGAATACAAGCTTTTGAAGGAAATGGTAACTGGCCTGGAGCATCTTGAACACTGGTTACAGTGGAGACCTTATGCTGTGGATGCATGGGAGCCATGGAAGGTTTTTGAGCAATGGGTGATGTGTACAAAGCCAGATTTGAGACTTTGATAATGGGATTTAGGGAGAGTTGAAAAGATAAGACACCAGGGCAGGGACCAGGAGTCTCAGCCAAAGCTCTCAAGTGTGCTGCTGGAGGCCACCTCATTGGTCATTTCTTCCTTCCAGAACTCAGGGCATGAGAGCCATCCTGCAAGCTTCTCTCCCCAGTCCTCCGGCCTCCACCCCCCTTTCCCTGGAGCCCAGGCAGACAGCAGTCATGGTGCTGGGGGCACCCCTCGTCCCAAAAGCCCAGGGGTCCAGCAAAAGGTAGGCGCCTGGAAAAAGGTTTAAACTTGGCCTCTTTCCCTCTTCTGTGGCCCCGTCCCCCAAATGAGGAGGTCCAAAGGCAGAAATCAGTGACATTTTAGATAAAAAAAAAAAAATCCACTGGAAACAGACTGGCATGGATGTACAGATAGAAATCAGGGTGTACTGAGGAGCCATTGCCCCGGGGTCATCCTGGGAATCATGAGGACTAACATGAGTGTGGTCTGTTTGTGAAACAACACGGCAAACACACCGGTTTCCGTGGAGTCCAAGATTGGAATAGAGGCACGTGGGGAAATAACACTCAAAAAAGAGTGTTAAGGTGGAAGGGTCTAGAAAGGTCTAGAAAGGTGCAGAGAGTTCGAGTCACGGTGCAGTCTCTCGGTGGAAAAAGGAAAAGTGGTACATCCCAGCAGGTGGAAATCAGGGATGGGAGGGAGCCAGGATATGGGGAGTTCCAAGGACTAACGAAGAGGTGATTAGAAGGAGACCAACAAGAGGGCCATGACACAGAAGCGCTGCTTGCCACAAGGAGAGGCAGGGCGTCCTTTGGGGACAGAGACCCTGAAATGGCCCTGGCATTCCATAGAATGCTCACAATACATGAGGCTGGTTCCTAAAGAGATACCCAAGCGGTGGCTTCATCTCTCTGCAAACGCACCCAATTAGGAAAGAAACGCCTCCCCGGGGTGGGGGGTGGGCAGTGAGGGTAAAGTACCCTGGGAATTCCTGGGGTGATGGACTTTTTCATATTGGACTGGACTCTTACTTTATTTGCTTTTCTCCTAACCGAACAGGGTTCATCCTAGAGGGGAAAATGAATCAGCAAGGTTCCCATCCTAACATGCCTCCAGACACATACTACAATATGCCCGTGATTTGCCAACGATATGTACTATTGTCAATAGGATGCCCGTGATGTGTCCTACTGTCAATACACTGGCGTTGTTTCTAAACCCTAGCTCTTTTTCGTCCCCCCTCAAATCAGTTTTTCCAAACTCAAGCCTGGAGTTTGTAACATGGAAGCCGTACCGTTTCTGATCCCACGAGCTGACTCTGACTTTCTCTGTGCTGTGCCCCCACAGATGGCTGGTTTACACTCTTCTTCTGAGAAGACAGGGCCAAAGTTTTCCATTCCATCCCCAACTTTTTCCAAGTCAACTTCAGCAGTTCCAGAGATAACCCAGCCTCCGTCCTATGAAGATGCCGTAAAGCAGGTAACTTTGCAAGATGTGTTCTCTGTAGGGAAACAGGTTGCCTAAACGGATTTTTTTTTTTTCATCATCCACCTTCATGCAGTCTGTAGATGCTGACATTGAGTGCATCGGGAGCCCCTCAATGAGAATGGGCCAAGTGTCTAGTCGCTAATTGCAGAAAGGTGTTGGGTGTACATAGCTGGTGTGTGAGGCAGGCGGAGAAGAGGTTGGGCTGGGCACCCAGGTGCCTTTATTTAATGTCACCAGCCAGCCACAATTGTCACTAAGGTTGGACAAGTGCTCAACGTCTCTTATGTGGAATAGGGTCCATATCTACTTTGTAAGGATTCTAGAGAGTGTAGCACTTACTACCTTGTCCAGGCAGGGGGTAGGTACTCAAATAGAGGAGAGCGGTTGCCAGGGTGATAATTTGTATAAGGTGATACTTTGTTTAAAGTGATACTTTGTATAAGGTTCTTGTTAGTTTCAGAATTTAGTGATCCAGCCAAAGTATTGATGACCATGATCATGGAGGTCCCTTGTATGCCTTGCTATCATTTACGGTGGGAAATGTTCCAAATAAAAAGTAAACTCCAAAGAAAGGAAAGCAGTGAATGATCGTATATTTCAAATGGTCTGAGCTTGGATAAGATATCAGAAGGCCCTCTGCATGTGCCCAACCTCGCAAGGAAGAGCTACGTCAACTTTTGCACACTGGCATCCCCCAGATCAAAATCAGCTTGCAGCTAGGTCTCACGTGGCTTAAAGAGTATTTCTAAATGTCAGGAGATTTTAGGCGAAAAGTGGGCTTTCTAATTCCTGAAAAATCAGAGGATCTCTCAATGGTGGAGCCACAATTCTGGGAGCGGACAGTTGCCTGAAACAGAGTATCCACAGCCTCCTAGAACCACAGTGTGGGGTCTACATTCTACCCCTCTCTCTTGCTCTCTATTCGGCTCTTTTACATTACCTGCCAGACCCTGTGGACATCTGATGCCTTCTGGACTGGTAGGTGGCTCATTCTCTGAGCAGTGCTCCCATCATATTGATTATTGATGCCTTTGTGTATTGGGAATGGGCTCTCAAGGGAGTGAGAGAGGTACGGGCCCCTGTCCTCCCCATTTTCTGCCCCTGGTATCTATAAGCATCCACGGATCCTTTGTGGTTTCAAAAGAAAAGAAGAAGGTCAAGCCAAGTGGATATCCATGAACGAGACTCTACCGTAAAACTCAGATGAGCCAGAGGGAAGGGGTGTCTACCCTACGAGCATCAACAGGTGCCACAGGGCTCTTGCAGTGAGGAACCCGGAAAGCCTGAGCCACGTGCTGGGGCCACAACCACAGCCCCCACATGGGAGGCAGATCCAAGTGGCTTCAGAGTGAGTAAAATGGCTGTACTCTCTGTAATAAGAAGCCCTGTTCTTGGGATGGAAGCCACTCCACCGAGCTCACCCTGAAGGACTCTCCTGGGGAGCACTCTGCCTTCTCCCCGCCTTCTCTTGTTTTGTTCAGGAGTTTTCCCATCTGAGGTGAACACTGAGCTTTAGTCGTGCAGTCAGCCATTTATAGTCTTGCTCACAGCAGCATTATTCACAAACAGTGGAAGCAACCCAAGTGGCCGCGCATGGATGAATGGTTAACCAAAATGTGGTGAATACATACAATTAACACTAGTCGGTCTTTTTTTTAAGATGATTTATTTATTCATTTGAGAGAGAGAGAGAGCACTCGCACAAGCCGGGGGGAGGGGCAGAGGGAGAGGGAGAAGCAGATTCCCCGCTGAGCAGGGAGCCCAACGTGGGGCTCAATCCCAGGACCCCAAGATCATGACCTGAGCTGAAGGCAGATGCTTAAGCGACTGAGGCACCCAGGTGCCCCAATACTAGTCAGTCTTAACAAGGAAAGAGATTCTGACACACGTCACAACATGGATGAACCCGGAGGATATTATACTGAGTGAAGTAAACCAGTAATAAAAGGAAATACACTGTGTGAATCCACTTCTGTGAGGTCTCTAGAGTTGCCCGATTCATGGGAACAGAAAGCAGAATGGAAATCGTCGGGGGCTCGGCGGGGAGGATGGGGAGTTCACGTTTCATGGGGACAGCGTTGCAGTTGGGGTAGATGAAAAAGTTCTGGAGATGGATGGTGGGGACAGTCACGCAATAATGTGAACATAATGTACTTAATGTCACTGGACCATATGCTTAAAAATGATGAAGACGGTAAATTCTATGTAGTGTGTATTTTACTGCAATTAAGGAAAAAAACCCACCTAAACCAAACCTAGTTCAAAAAATCTGTAGTGCTGCTTCTAACGATCTCCCACAGAAGAGGTGGCCAACCTTCTCACCTGTCCGTTCTCCTCTGCTTAATTTGCAACAGCAAATGACTCGGAGTCAACAGATGGATGAGCTCCTAGATGTCCTCATTGAAAGTGGAGGTAAGACTGCCCTGGGGATACTCTGCAACTGCTTGTGCTCTGGGGAGTGAACCCTTAGGACCAAGGTCAGGTGCTCACGGGAAGTCAGACCCAAAAGCCATGAGGGGGTCAAGTGTCACTTCTTGTGAGCTCGCTGTCCCCGCTGGAGCAGATGTAAGAAGGCCCAGTGGGTGATTCCTCCCTGACTCTGTCCCTCTGTCCCTAGCAGCTTTCTCACCAACATTTTTTTTTCCACGCAGAACGTGCCCTCTTTAATACCCATCACCAGGCTAACCCATCCCCCCACCCCCTCCCCTCTAGAACCCTCAGTGTGTTTCTCAGAGTCCATCATCTCTCATGGTTCGTCTCCCCCTCTGACTTACTCCCCTTCATTCTTCCCCTCCTGTTATCTTCTTCTTTTTCTTTTTTCTTAAAATATGTTGCATTATTTGTTTCAGAGGTACAGATCTGTGATTCAACAGTCTTGCACAATTCACAGCGCTCACCGTAGCACATACCCTCCCCACTGTCTATCACCCAGCCACCCCCTCCCTCCCACCCCCCACCACTCCAGCAACCCTCAGTTTGTATCCTGAGATTCGGAATTCCTCATATCAGTGAGGTCATGTGATACATGTCTTTCTCTGATTGACTTATTTCACTCAGCATAAGACCCTCCAGTTCCATCCACGTCGTTGCAAATGGCAAGATCTCATTCCTTTTGATGGCTGCATAATATTCCATTGTGTATATATACCACTTCTTCTTTATCCATTCATCTGTCGATGGACATCTTGGCTCTTTCCACAGTTTGGCTATTGTGGACATTGCTGCTATAAACATTGGGGTGCACGTACCCCTTCGGGTCCCTACATTTGTGTCTTTGTTCTCACCAATCATTTTATCAGTTGGTGTCCTCAACTCGGTCCCTGTTTCCCTAAGTGTTTTCCCTTCAAATCCGTTCCTCTTTGCCTTTCTAATCCCAATGTCCCTATCCTCTTAAATAATAATAAGAAGAGAGCAGACAAAGCAAGTTTTGTGCTACCTACTCAAAATGAAATTCAATTACTGATCTGCTGCTGAGCTGCTGGATGGTCCATTCATGCTTAGATGTCATTCCAGCTTGCAACCAAAAAAAAAAAAAAAAAGACCAACATGTTCTTTTCACCTCCTTTTTAGTCATTCGTTTATTTTTTTCAAAATTACATAGTATGTGCCCAGAATCTGAAACCACACAGATGAATAAGATCATGTAAAGAGAACATGTAGATAGAAAAAAACAAAAAACAAAAAATACCAAAACCCTCAGGTCTGAGCCTTTCGATAACAACCTTGAAAGTTCAGAGAAGGAGTGGCCAGGCATTGTACTGGGCTCAGTGCTGCACCTGACAAAGTCCCCACCTTTGTGGAGCTTAGAGTCTGGTAACGCAGAATGGACAACAGGCTTTAAAGATTTTGTTTATTTTGGGGGGAGAGAGAGAGTAGGGAGAGGTGCAGAGGGAGAGGGTGAGGGACAAGCAGACTCCCCGCCGAGGGCAGAGCCCGACCCGGGGCCCCATCTCATGACCCCGAGATCAGGGCCTGAGCTGAAACCAAGAGTCGGACTCCCAACCGACTGAGCCACCCAGGCGCCCCAACACACCCTGATATTTTTAACGAACTATATGGCCAGGTCAGCAAAGGTAAGGGTTCAGAAGGGGAGCACAGGAGATTTGAGGACAGAAGAATCATTTGAGGGCAGTTCTAAATCAATCACGAATGAATTTTCCGGAGAAACACAGTAGGAGGCTAGGCTGTATTAAGTGCCATCGGTAGGTCTGTTACCATAAATCTAAAGTGAGACCAGTCAGCTCCATTGAATCATTTTTTTCTCTTGCAACCACGATTCACCCAGGTGTGGGTTTTTTGTTTTTTGTTTTTTTTAAGATTTTATTTATTTGAGAGAGAAGGAGCGGGAGGGAGCATGAGTGAAGAGAGAGGTGGATGGAGAGAGAGAAGCGGGCTCCTCACTGAGCAGGGAGCCTGACTCGGGGCTCGATCCCAGGACCCTGGGAACATGACCTGAGCTGAAGGCAGACGCTTAACCGACTGAGCCACCCGGGTGCCCCTGGGTGTGGGGTTTTGCCAAGGGAGTGCGGTGCAAGGAGAACAGAGCAAGGGGATTGAGGATATTTATAAGACAGTAACTCTAACCGTGGAGCAGAGACTATCAGCCTGACAGAGAAAGAAGTGAGAGCCCAGGGGGCTGATGGAGGGAGAAAGTAGTAGAGTCCATAGGTTGGAGTGACAATCGGAAAGTGACAATGGCGTGGCACCCCATGACTCCTCTTCCGGCTCCCACGTAAATGAGCCCCCACTGCGGGCGTGAGGAGGATGCAGTGTCCTCGGGGGACAGCCAGGTGTCAGTGAAGGAGCAGGTAAAGGAACCTGCTTTGCGAGGTTGCTGACCGGAGTGGAAGTTCCAGAAAGAAAGGGCTTGGGGAGAGACCAGGGAGAAGCATTGGACACAGACAGGGCACTTTAGGGACGAGACTGGGTAATAACCGGAGAGACGCATCCATCTTGTGTGTAAGCGTGACTCCTTCATCCCAAAGATCCCTATTGCAGAACCGGAAGTGGTTTGACAATCCCCACTCTGTTTTGCCAACAGAAATGCCAGCTAACGCTAGAGAGGATCATTCGTGTCTTCAAAAAGTCCCCAAGATACCCGGGTCTTCCCGAAGCCCCCCAGCTGCCCTGCCCAAACCCTCATCTTCGGGGGGCCAGCTCTCCTTTGATCACTACGGCACCGAGAGTGATGAGCACCTTGAAGTCTTATTAAATTCCCAGAGCCCCTTAGGGAAGGTGAGCGATGTCGCCCTGCTAAAAATTGGGAGCGAAGAGCCTCCTTTCGATGGGATAATGGATGGATTCTCCGGGAAGGCAGCAGAAGACCTGTTCAGCGCCCACGAGATCTTGGCAGGCCCCCTCTCCCCGATGCAGACTCAGTTCTCCCCCTCCTCTGTGGACAGCAGTGGGCTGCCGCTAAGCTTCACCGAATCTCCTTGGGAAACCATGGAGTGGCTGGACCTCACTCCGCCAAGCTCCACGCCAAGCTTTAGCTCCCTCGGCACCGGTGGCCCCAGCATCTTTAACATTGATTTCCTGGATGTCACGGATCTCAATCTGAATTCCCCCATGGACCTTCACTTACAGCAGTGGTAGAATGCATGGGCAGAGGCACCAAGGGGGACCAGTGGGAATTCCACGGGGGAAAAGCAGACAACCAAAATCACTCCTATCATCCAAAAAGAGGAGGAGGAGGAGGAGAGAATTACAAAGAAACAGTGGAGACTTCTGTGACCATCAGTGAGAGCAAAAAGGAGTCTTTATATATATATATATATACATATATATATATATATATGATGTAATATTTACCGACATTCAGTAACTGTCAATGATTTCAGCAATGCATTCAGAAATGTGCTTTCTCAGATCAGGAATGCCAAAAAAAAAAAAAAATTCTTTCACTGCCTTTTCAAACACCAGTATTTTTGCAACCCCTGATTTTTCTCAGGCATTGTTCGGGCATATTCTCACATCGTAAGCCTCTCTCGCAGATTCATTAGATGTGGTGCGGAAAGGACATGGAGCTCTTTTGGAGTACAGGGAATGTAATAGCATAACCATCGACGTTTCTGGAAGACAGACCATGGTGGAGGCTGCTTGCCATCCCTCCCCTCTCTGTCGTTCAACATAGAAGTCAGGTCCCACTTCCGTTAGGTTCTTGAGGTAGGCTAGAGGGACAGAACCAATCCATTCCCAGGGAAAGGAAATCAGCTGGGCCACAAAGCTGCCCCCTTTTGGTGATTCCAGCCGGGACCCAGGACTCTGTGTGGTCACGGATAACAATGACCCTACATTTGATCCACAGAACCCCACTGAGAATTTCCCTCCTTGTCAACCAGTCGCCAGATCACTCCCACTGTCTCTATGAAGCAGGAAACAGCCAAGAACCTTAAAGCAAACTAAACCCAAAACCTCCTGCCATGGAAAGTTCCCCAACACAACCCCCTTTAGTTTCCAAGACTGGAGGTGACCCCATAAGCAGATGGCAAGCCATACCAGGGATCATTCAGACAGCGCTAGAAAACCTTGTTTCATGTGTCACGAGAATAAATACCATGGGTTCCTACAACGGGATGGCGATTTATGGAGGTCCAACTTTTTTTTGGCAGGGGAGGGATTTGGGGTCCACCTCTGTTTATCTTTCTCCAACTTTTCTTTCAAGAAACCAATCTTTTCTTGCTCATCTTTTGAAACTCTTTCTTTTTTCTGCCCCAACATCAGGAGGACTCCTCAGATCTAACAAGCTGCCATACTCCTAATAAAGCCATATTTTAAAAAGCTAAAACTCCATGTTCTCCCGGAGAACTCATTCTCCATATGCATCATTTGCTGCAAAAAAAAAAAAAAAAAAAAAAGTCAAAAGAATGTCCTTGGGGAAAAAAAAGCAGTGACTTGGCCCATCAGTCCCAAAGTTCATTCTGCTGTCATTTGACTTATAGCAATCAGTGATTTGGGTGGTGTTGGGGAAATTGGAAATCATTACTTTGTAAAGATAGAGCTGAAATGATATTTGCAAGGGGAGAGGATTGCAGGTCTGGGTCGGTGAAAGGAAACACAGTTGCACATGGAAAACAAGGAAAGGAAGAAAAGACAGTGGTCTCGCGAGCATTCCTCAGTACCTCCTGCTTTTGCTGGGACTCCACACACTCAAACGACATAGTGTTGCATGCTGTAGAAAGTAGCTGTTGCTGGTTGGCTGGTTGGTTTGTTGTTGTTGTTGTTGTTGTTGTTGTTTTTAATTTAAACCACTAAGGCACTGTGTTCTTCTTTTGTAAAAAAAAAAAAATTCACTGTGCACTTATGCAGAAGGTAACCAAAAATGTTGTGATTTTAGAAGTTCTCTTTTTGATAAACCAAAGATTTAGAAGTCATTCCATTGTTAACTTGTAAACATGTGTGAACACAGAGTGTTTTGGGGGGACTGCTACTCAGAAAGTTGGCAGATCTAATGGGGTAGGTATGCATATGCGTGTAGATATATGCATGTATATATACATACATGTATATATATGTCTACACGTATGTGTATTTGTGTGTCTTTTGAAAAGCAGTGTTACAGAGCATTCTATACCAAAAGCCCTTAAGCCCCCAATTTGCTGTGAAATGATACTTGGCCTTTCTCACTATGAGTTCCTGATTCATCAACAGACTACACGTTGCCTCTCTGTGTATGACTAACGGCTCCAGCCCGATGACTCACACAGCCACTTGCTCACCATGAATGCACTCATCTTGACAAGGAATATGGATGTGAAAAGACAGAACAGCTTCACCCTTAGTTGCTGGAAATGGTAAATACCGTCTCTCGTAGAAAAGCATCAAAGGAACACGAAAACCATTTTTACATTCCTTGACCTGCATTGTGCTTTGAGAGATCCACATGGTACATTTTTTTCGTTTTGCTTTGATGTCCGTCATCAGAACCAGAAATCGAGAGAAGCATACCAGTCTCTTCTGGGAAGGTGAAGCTCCGGGGAAGAAAAATCTTATTAACACATTCCTCATGTTTGTTTGTCCCTCAGATGTTGACGTTTTATTTGGATCTTGACAAAGCTTGCTGGTCAGTACATTTTTCATGTGCCACATTGTGCGATCTGTATATTATTTTCTCCCCCCTTACTGCCTTTGGAAAACAAACTTGCAGGGTCTCTACTCGGGGTATTTGGAGCAGAAGGACTAGACTTGGTCAGGAAGCCACTGTACTTTGTTAGGACTGTACGTTTGCCTAGAGGCCTTTGTAGGATATTACCAGCACTGATACACACGCATCACAGAGCAGACCCCTGGATTCTTAGCCTCAGGCCCCTCACACAGGCTCCGTATTCACACACTCTGTCCATCGATCAGATGTGACATTTACGGTATAAAACTAGGGATACCTGGGAGAAACTCGGAGAAGTTGGCTGCACCCAGTGGATCAGACAGACCATGTTAATTCATCTGTCTCCTAGTGGGAGTTTTTATTTTAAGTACTTTTAAACTCTTAAGTATGTCCTCTTCTCTGGAGATCAATGGGACATGACTAGGAGATGTATAGAGACTTCTGAAGACAGCCACATTTGAGCTTCTTAATGCTCTTAGAGCCTGGAAGTAGCCACATGTGGTTTTCTCCAGATTCCTGGGACTCCCGTGGTGAAGCAGGCCGAACAGACACAGTTGGCCGCTAATCCCAATGTTGCTGCAGCCGCGTGGGTTCAAACTTACTCAACAGAGTCAGAAAACACATCTGGGCAAATGCTCTTGTTAAGATAGTGCTCATTAGTAGTACTCCTGCTTCTAACAATATTATCCAGACAGCACACATTCTGTTATAAGGAGGAGAGGGAGGGAGGGAGGGAGGAAGAAAGGATGGAAGGAAGGAAGGAAGGAAAAGAGAGAAGGAAGGAAGGAAGGAAGAAGGAAGGAAGGAAGGAAAGAAGGAAAAGGAAGGGAGGAAGGAAGGAAGGGAAGGGAGGGAGGGAAGTCAAAAGAATTTCCACCTGAATAGTGAAGGGTCTGCCCTGCTGGCCTTTGCCATTCAAAGACATTTATATCTGATCTGGAAAAAAAAAAAAAAAAAAAACAAGAAACAAACAAACAAAAAAACCCTATCCCAAGTATTCAAGACAATCCTTTTCAAAATATATTTAAACTCCATCAGCTCTTCCAGAAACAAATGCGGACCTGGCCGAAAGCTCCTGCATCAAGTTGACTCCTGCAATGGACAGTCCCCTGACGTCTGATCTGTGCCAAGCGCACCAATCCCCAGACATCCACTACGCACCAGACAAAGTACCCATGGTTCAGATTCCGTGACTGGGGAGCTGCGGTTCCTACAAGCAAGAACACTGGGAACCTCCCAGTCCTCAAACCAGAAACACTTTAGCTCTGATAAAAAAAAAAGGGGGGAGGGGAGTGGTCTTCATTTTTCCAGAAGGGAGAGCAGAGGGCCCCTTTTCTGCCAAATGTTATCACCCACACTGTCAGTTTTTTCTTGTCTCTGGGATCCAACAGCAGCAGTATGGTACTTGGGTAATCTCTCCGTATCCCCCATCACTTAAAACATCTGTGAGAGTTTGGGTTTTTTTTTTTTATTACCGGATACAGAGCCCCTTGAAAATCAGGGAAGGGTGAAGGAAACTTTTATTATAATTATTATTATTTTCTCTAGTCCCTGTCTTTGACTCTTATAACAAGCTCTCTATGCAAAAGGGACCCTTGGGGTGGGGGAGGGGTGCCCATGGTAAGCCACCGCCCCTTAGGAGAAAAGCACTCGGCCTTCCCCTCCAGGCCTTCATTCCTTACAGGGGGAAGCCCACTAGGGCGGGCACAGGGTTTGCTTTCAGGGATGAGCCAACTCAGAGTAAAAAGAGTCTGGGGTCTTCGTTTTCCTATAAATCCAAGTGTAGCCAGCAGGGTGGTTCAGATGCCGAGACTGCTCGTTCTTTCTCAGATGATATTACTAGACACGCGGAACCCACGTCCTGGAACGAGATGGTCCTATAGTTCCGGAGCTGCTCAGGTTGTGCTAAGGAGCTGGCTTTGGTTCTAGAATCGACATTTTCAGAGGACCGCTGGCTAGGTTGAGATTATTCCCAAGAAGACGATTTCAAGACAGGGAAAGATCTGGGAAGAATTTCTCTATCCTCTATCTACCAGGGAAATTGTAATAGGACTCACTAGGGTCAACAGCATAGCAGTAATGATTCTGATTCTAGGATTTGGTGATTTTCCCAATGGATTAGGACCAACAAACTCCTGAACATCTCATGCTTCTTTAATCGCCAGCTCCCATCATGGACGCTGGTCACCTGAGTTGCCTCTCTAAATGGTTTAACAGCTCCTGAGTGTTTATGGAAAGGGGGAGTATCATGGTGGGGATCCTGGATGTTATTCTAGTGTTTTCCAAAGGAAGGGAACCCACCCTGCTCCCTAGAGCTCCCCTCCAGTGGGCCTGCAGTGAGGAAAGGGGGGGCTTGAAGCCCTCCCTTGGAGAAACCCAAAGAGGTGCTTTGCAAAGAAATAAAAAAAGCCAGCATGCATTTTTCTGTGGGGATCTGTGTGTTGTGTTCACATTGATCTCCCTTGCTCAACTATACATTACCAGAAAGAAATGTGGATTACCAGGAAAAGAAGCAATGGCTAAAGTACCAAAGTTGGCATGTGTTCTTTTAAAAATATATATATATAAATATATTTTTAAATAAAATGTTTATTTTGAAAAAGACGTGAGCTTTTTTCTCGACTAGATGATACAACAACAGGCACCGGGCCACGCCCTTCACTGGGTGCCATTTCGTGTGTTCTCGCAACGGCGCAAAGCTACTGTTATTCCCATTTTACATACGAAGAAACTGAGGCTCAGAGAGGCTCAGTCAATTGTTTAAGATTCTACACCTGAAATATATAGAGCCAGCTGCCAGACGTTTTTATCTCCAAAGCCCCTGATCTCGAACAGTACACGTCTCACCCGTATTTACCACTGATTAACACTAACACGATGAAGACTTTTGTGGAAAGGAACAGACCCTCCCATCACGTACATGCTTTAAAAGTACATGCACACGCACACATCTTAGCCAACCCGTTGTTTTCATCAGGTTAGCAACTGAGCAAACTGAATAGTAATGCGGAATGCATTGGGCATCAAAGATAACTCATAGACTCCCTAAGTAAGACTCAGTTTTTAATTTTTCTCTCCTAAATTTATTCCTGACTGTCATTTTCCCATCAGTGAGCATGTAAGCCACGTGCAGGAACTGAGATATCTTGCAAGGAGCCCTTGAAAGGGGGTCCCAAGCCCTCATTTAGACTAGATTTGATCTTGCTTTATGCTATGGCTCTGCCTTCCCCTCTCCGCCCTTAAATTTCTGGTGGGCTCTCCCCATGTAGAAGCAAGAAGAGCACAGGTTGTCAGAAGCCCCAGGTGTCCATCCTTCAGATTAGCAATTCCAGCAAAAAGAGAGTTTTGCATTCCTAAGAGTCACAGCAGAAACCTCACCACTCTCTCTCAGTGGGCCCATCCTGGAACCCACCTCTGTGGCCATGAGCATGAGGTATACATTCACTCACAAGGTCTGGATCCTCCATTCATCCCCGAGCTGTGGAGTGGGATCGTTTGAGTCTCATGGACTGACAGCAGAGAAAGTGAGATTTTTTTTTCTACAGGAAAATTGAGTTGCTATTAGCAAAAGGGGGAACAGGTGTTGAAGAGGCACAAACTGTAGATTGCTCACACACAACCCCTGCTTTCAAGAATTTTATCATCTGGAGAAGAAGCCAGGTAAAGAAGGAAGGACAACATAGTCTGATAAAGGTTTACGAGGGA